TCGATGTCGAATGAAGAAGTTAGTACTTAATTGTGAGATTTGAGAAATTAAGAGGATCAAATAAGGCAATAGTTTTGTCCTGATTTTAGGTTAATTTATTATCAAATTAAATTTCATGTTTGGTTCAAATAATTTCCCAACTATTCAAGGAGTTTGGTAATAAAAATAAAAATAAAATATTGACTAAATTACGCGTTTAGTATCTAAATTAATAAATTTTAATATGTTTTATTTTTCTCACCGTTAAAGGCACTGTATTTTTTATGGGTAAATTACATAATTCATCATATAACTATCTTTTTACTCTTATTTTGGTACTAAAGTTTAAAAATCTTCAATTTAATTACTCAACATTCAAATTACTCATTTTTAATCACTTTAATTCATTTTATTAATGTTTTTTTGACATGATATTTTTTTTATTATTTTATTAATATATAATTAACAATAAAAATAAAATTCAAAGTTAGAGTGATTTAATTAGGAGTAATTTGAAAGTTCACTAATTAAATTAAGAAAAATAAATTTTAGTGACCAAAATAGGAGTGAAAAGATAGTTTGGTGATGAAGGATGTAATTTATCCATAAAAAATGTTACACATCCAAATCATCCGTTAAGTTTTTAAGGGCGAGGTACTGAAACGAAACAAAAACTAAATGTTAGGCATGATTTTGAAAAAGTTAAAAGTTTAAGCATTAAAACAGACCAAAACTAATAGTTTAGGTGTTAAATGTGTAATTTAAACTAAATTATTTAAATAATATATCATGTTTCGAATAATGATATTATAAATAAAATAAATTAAAAGAATTATATAATATATAATTTAAATTAGTGGACTATTACGGCTATTTTTATTTAAATGTATTTTAATTGAAGTAAATATATTTTACGTTATTTATATTTCTTTTACTTACATAATAATGGGTGTAACATAGTTTAATATTTTGGTAAAATACACAAACAATCTCTCGTTTACAAGATACTAATTTATTAAGTCATTCGACGATTAAAAATTACAAAATGATCCTCTAATTATATAGTATTACTTTGTTGAGTCCCTTAACTATTAAAAGCTACAAAATGGTCACCAGACTGTTCATTATGTTCGCAACTTGTCTTTTTTCGTTAGAAAATTGGCGGTTGACTAAGTTTGATGTTAACATGATGATTAAGATATGACAATTGTTAGAGATTCTTAGATCATATTTTATTATATCACAGTCAATAAGTTAACGTTCAACTTTGAATATCATTAATTTTTTAATGGAAAAGGACGAGTTTAGAATATAATGAATAATCGTCTCACCATTTTATAACTTTTAATAGTTAAATTACTCAGAAAAAAATACTATAGTCAAAGGACTATTTTGTAACTTTTAATAGTCGAATGACTATTTTTGTACTTTACCCTTACTATTTTTGGTTGAACTTAATGTCAGTTGATTTGATATATAACAAAATTAAATAATATTCTTTGAGATTTTGATTTCATTATATATATATATATATAAGAGTACGAGTATTTAATGTCAAATAATTAATAATTTTTAAATAAATATATATAAATAAAATAAATATTTGATTTTTATTAATAAAAAAATAAGACTAAAATATTCAAATAAATATTAATTTTATTAAAATATAAAAATAACAAGTCCTAAGAAAAGAAAATATCTGAGGACTAGCATTGGAGACTGCGACCTCACTAGGTCGAGGCAGATATTTCATGTGGCCAGTTTTTCAGTATAAGAGAAAATGATTGGTCCCAAATAGTTAAAAACAAATGTATTTATCCCTTTACATATAATTTGTCATTTTCCTATGAAAAAAATCGACAATAGTCTGAGTTAGACGTTAACATGTTAATTAAGATATGATAATAATTTGAGAATGTGAGAATATATTTTATCATATCTCAGTCAGCATGTTAATATACACAGTGGCATGTCCAGAAATATTTTTTAGTGTGGACACATATGTTAACAACATAAAATTTTTAAATGGGACGAGTACGAATAAAATTTCAGGGTGAGCCTTGTCCGTAAAATAAGTAACTAATCGAATAAAACTCAGATTCAAGGGTGGGCACGAAAAAATTTAAGAGGGGAAACATTAGTAAAATAAGTAACTAATCGAAGAAAATTCGAATTTCAGGGTGGGCACCCTCACCAAGACGTGGCTCCGCCACTGAATATACAACTTAGAACCTATCAAAATTTTAACAAAAAAATGATGAACTTGGAATATAATGAATAATTAGATTATCATTTTGTAATTTTTAATAGTCAATGAACTTAATAAAACACTATCTTATAGTTGAGGATTATTTGTATACTCTACCCTATACAATTACCCATATATAGCATAAACTGCGCATTTAGTGCCTAAACTATAAGTTTTTTAGTTTGTTTTAATGCCTAAACTATAAGTTTTAGTCCGTTTTAATCCCTATAAAATCATACTTAACGTTTTATTTTTCATTTTATTTTAGCAGTAACGTGTTTAGTACCTAGACTTTTAATTTTTTTCAAAACTTAACGTTAATTTTTGAACGGGATACTAAAATAAAATAAAAACTAAAGTTTTTAAAAGCAAGAACTGAAATGAAACAAAAACTAAACTTTAGGTATAATTTTTAAAAATTGAAAGTTTAGGTATTAAAATGAAGTAAAACTAATAGTTTAAGTACTAAATGTGTCATTTACCCATATATATATATATATATATATATATATATATATATAGTACAATATTTGGTTCTTGAAATCTATAATGATAATTATCTCTATCTACTCTTATCTCTTAAGTCTTAACCACCAAGTAATGATTGCTTACGTCAATAATTTGATCTCCTTGTTCTTAGTCTAATCTGTTAATAATTAGTTTGACAACCCTTAAACTAATGTCTAATTTAAAAATTAAATGAAATTGTTGGGAGACTTTAAATTTTTTACGTTTAGGGTTAACGAGCAAAACTCAACCCGGCTCGAAATAACTTCGAGTTGTAATTTCATAAACTCGACTCAAAAAATTTTCAAGCTCAAATCGAGTTATAAGATACAACTCGAATAACTTGAAATTTTTAGTAATTAGTGGATGTATTTTCAAGTTTGAGTCGAGTTTCTCAATTCTGTATACACAAATGAAATAAATATATATGTATTGTATTTTTTTTTATCAAAAATCATACAAGAATGAATTGTTATATATATGTATTGTATTTGATCATAAAAATATTTAAATTGAAATTAAATAATATCATAATATTATAAAAATTTATAATTAAAATTAATAAAATGTGAATATTTTTTTTATTAATACACTTTTATCCAGTGACGGAGCTACGTAGGAGCTTGGGAGAGTCGGTGTGTCCCCTAATTTTTTTAATCATTAAAAAGTATAAAGACAAGTACCTATTTAACTCATTAAATTTTAGTTTATTTTGATTTTCTCCCATTTTTATCGTTAATTATATTTTACCCCTGAACTAGAATCCCGGCTCCGTCCCTGTTTTTACGGGTAGTAAACTTTTAGTTATTTTCTAGATACATCCTTAGTCATATGTAAATGACTAAATGGTGTGTTGGAAGATTGTTGCGTTGAAGTTTAGTTCCAACGTGACACGGTTGTTAGAGGAAACATGAATAATCACGAAACTGGCCTAATGCATTATTGTTGGTCAATCATAATCTTAAGTTTTGTTATCATTGGATCAATATACGTTTTGGTACCTCAACTTTATTTAAAGATTCAAGTTAGTATTTTAGTTTTTATTTTTATTTTATTTGATCATATTTTCAACATTGTATGTTGAAGAAGACCATCTTAGGGGAAGAATACATTTATTGAATTTAATTTAAGTTAGAACCAAATTAATAGATTGTGTAAGTAATGTTAGGGATGGCAATTTCACCCGTATCTGACGGGTTCTGACCCGACCAGGTTGGATTTTTTCTTTAAAAAAGTTCGGGGTCGGGTGGAGGGTGAAAAAGCTTCAACTCAACCCAACTTGAGGATAATCATGTAATTTTCTTAAAAATTATTATTTTTAATTAAATATTTAATTTATACCGGGTCTGGTCGAGTCAGATTTATACTATAAAAAATCATGTCGAAGTTGGGTGGAGGATGTATATTTTCGGTCGGGTCAAATGTAAGATATAAATTTTTTGGGTTGGGTCAGGTTCAGGTGGATGGTGCATATTTTTTAGTTAGGTCAGATTGACAAAAAATATGACTCGTTGCCATCCCTAAGTAGTATAGATCGAATATATAATAATATTAATTGTGTTAATTGTCAGGTTATCTCCTTTGTCAAATATTGATGATAAATGACTTGATGGATATTATTTAAATAATTAAGTGATAGAATTGATAGAATTGAAAGATAAATGATTAGATTAGAATCTTCCGTAATTAAGTGGTTATGAACTTTACTCTCTCTCATATTTCACTCGTTGTACTTTAAATATTTTCAATTTCTCATTAAACTTAATACATTGCGGGGTTTTTTCTTCAATCAATCGTTTCTCAATAACCGCGTTATTACACGGTTTTCTATTTTATTTTTAAATGGGTAAATTTCAAATTTAATCATTGAACATTATTCTCTCTCCTATTTCAATCACTATAATTTTAATTATTTTCAATTTAATCACTAAACTTTGTGCATTGAATTTTTTTGTCACTCCTCTGTTAGCAACAAAAAAGCCACATGCCATTAGTGATGAAACGACTAAGTGACAAAAAATTATAATGTATTAAGTTTGGTGAGGAAATTAAAAAGATGTAAAGTATAGTCAGTGGAATAGGAGAGAAAATATTGTTTAATTACCGAATTTGTAATTTAACCTTTCTCAAAATTCGAAAAGTATGGAGATTAAAATTATCAACTTAAAATATAGGGACCAAAGTTACAATTTATGCATGGTATAGGGACCGGTGATAAACTTCGACCTGTTTTCTTATATTGTACTACACAAACCAACTTTAAAATATAGTACAAGTTCTTCTCTTTAATTCTGGGAATTGTTTTCCTCTGCGATTGAAGCATTCAACGACGATGATGCACATGACCTTTTACTGGAGCCGGCAGGTGACTCTCTTGTTCAGTTCATGGCGGACCGATTCGTGGCCGAGTTACTTGTTGACTCTCCTAGCTTGTGTTCTGGCTTCCGTTTTCTACCAGTACCTGGAGCACGCGAGGTACATCGTGAGGCACGGCGGGAATCCGGCGGCGGAAGAGCCGTTGTTGTCGAACCGGTCCGGAGTAGGTAAGCGGTCGGGGAGGAAGATCGCCGACGGGTTGCTGTTCGGGTTGAGCTCGGGTTTGGGGTATCTCTTGATGCTGGAGATCATGTCGTTCAACGGAGGCGTGTTCGTGGCCGTCGTTTTGGGGTTGTCGATTGGGTATTTAGGGTTTCGGAGCGACGACGACGACGGAATCGGCGGCGTTAACAGCACTTGTGCCTGTGCCTGATTACAATGGATGAAATTAAATTTGATTTGGGATTTGGGAGTTAGGATTTGAATGATCATTTATGTAAACTTGTGTAATTATAACGATGTTAAATATTTGAGAATTATCATTAAATAAATATTGTCTTATATATATCTCATTATCGATTGAAATATAGGTGTGAGTTTTTTACTTTAAAAATTAAATCGAATGAAACCTCTTTAAATTCGACTTATAGGTATAATACTCCAATGCGATTCAAATAGATAAATTTTTAACTTGATTCAGTTTATGCTCATCCCTAGTAACATTTTTGTCTATGTGATGGTACAATTGTAAGAATTTATAAAAGAATGACCAAAAATGAAAAAAAATGATTAAATAGGAAAAAAATACACACATATTTATATGAATATGAGTACGAGTCAGATCGAAAATGACTTACTTATACGAGCATTCTTTTAATGTGATTCTTCAACTCGGAAACTAAACTCAATATGACCCTTTGACCAATGTTTTTTTCCCCTTCGTTTGATCATTACAATGCTGACGTGGCAATCCATGGTACTGACTTGACAGTCCACCTGTCATGTTTAAGTTATCGATTTAGCCTATCTAATATGTTATTCGTCACGTTATCAACCATCATGGACTACCATGTCAACATCGTGGACCGTCACATCAGCATCATGGACCGTCACATAAGTACCGTAACGATTAATGACGATGGTTATGTCTTTTTTTTTTGCATTTATTTTAGAGTTTGATGGTCCTTTAAATCAATTTCTAAACTATAAATTAGTATGGAGGTAGCACTCTAAGATTACGACACACTAAATTACTAGAAAACAAATGATTGGTTCACATCACATAAGTGGGACGAAATTTCCAACTTCATTTTGGCAGCCAATGTACACATTAGAGTTTAAGAAATATGTGAAAACTTTATACTATAAAATTAATTAGGATAACTGGCCCGCCCTTAGTGGTGGTTGAAAATTCCAATATTCTTTTCTTGTAACGTTGTAACATCAATAATATATATATAAGGATGGCAACGAGTGGGGTTAGGGTCGGTTTTCGATCAATAGATTCGATTCGAAAATGTGTATCTTTCATTTGAATTCGATTTGATTTGGAAATTATATAACCTTTATTCGACTCGATCGACCTGGAAAAATATCATCCACTTGACTCTGATCAGATATGAATTTTTAGAGTAAATCTAATCCGATCAAACCCAATAAAAATAATGATTTAATTAAAAAATAATAAATTTTTAAGAAAATTACATTATTATCCTGGGTCGGGCTGGTCGTAGTTTTTTCACCCTCTACCCGAACCCGATTTTTTTTTTTAAAAATCCGACTTATATATATGACCGATATTTAATTACACCATATAAAATTCTTTTAATTTTACACCTTTGTAAGACCATTAGATGAGAGAAATTAAAGGCTGAGATTAACATTAGAAAATGAGAAGATATTCACATAACAAAATAAAGAGTTAATCTCAACCTTTGATTTCCTTCAATCCAACGGTCCTAAAAAAGTGTAAAACTAAAAGAGTTTTACACAGTGTAAGTAGATTTGGTTAGGATTTTGTCAACTTTCAAGGAGTTAATTGTACCGTACATTCTTAAATTATGACATTTGTTTGAAATTGATTCTTTAACTTTTAAACATTCTAATTCCATCATTGAATTATGATTCTCATTCTAAATTGATCCCAGAACTTTTGAATTCCATATCAATTCTAAAACTCTGACCCTCATTATAAATTAATCCCCAAACATTTGAACATTCCAATAATGTCCCCCAAAATCTTTCAAAAGTTTGGGGATGAAATTGAAACATTCAAGAGTTTAGAGACCAACCGTAGTTTGGGAATGAATTTGGAACATTCAAAAGTTCGGAGACCAAATTAGAATGACAGTCATAATTTTAGGATAAAATTAGAATGTTCAAAAGTGTAGGGATTAATTTAAAATAAGGATCATAGTCTAGGGACGTATAGTATAATTAACTCATTTCAAGCTATATATGAACAATTAATATGAAGTTTTACGTGTTAGGTTGGTCTTTATGTCTTGATTTTGTTAAAGACAACATGTTGGAAACGTACATGTCGAATCATAGAGCTTATCTAAAAGACTTACAGAGTCTAATAAGATGTTTGAAGATTTAAAGTCCCTATATATCACCGGTTTACCGGCTTCGTGTAGGAAGGCCAAGCCCTTTGCCGCTCCTAAAGCGATTTTCATCCTCGTTGACCACGACAACGTAGCCGAATGCCACCATTGACCACCGTCGACCGCTGTAGATGGTGGTCATTCGGTCCCAAATTTCATGAGTCGCTTTACCTCGACACATTGAGTCTGAATATGACCTCCACTTTGTCGAAACTTACTCTAAAGTTCACGAATTAGAGATTGAAAGTGAATAACCCGAAACGTTTCAATCGAGACTCATGGATTTGAGAATTTTTTCCGATGAAACAACCACCATATCAGACTCAGAGGGTCGAGAAGAATTGACCCATAAATTTTGAGACCGAACGACAATAGACGGTGATTGAAATGAAAATTGATGTGATGGTTGACGGTGGCAACTAGTCACCTTATTTGCAAAGTAGAGAGAAAATAAGGGGAGAGAAGATGACTCGAAACGATGTCGTTTTGGTGTATATTTGAATTTTTCAAAACGACTTCATTTTGATGTTTGTGTCATGTCATAACACAGTTAAAAAATTAATGCCAAAGTGACCAAAATTATTAAATCTATAAAGTTCAGTGAACGAATTAGAAAAATTTAATGTATGGTGAGTAAAATAGAAAAAGAGAGTAAAATTTTGTGAGGAATGATATAATTTACCCAAATATATTTTAACAATTTTTAATTAAATTAAAATTCGATTAATCAGTGACAGTATTTTTATCATAATTTTAATAAAAATGTAAAATATATATCTAAAAAAGTAAATTTAGTTTTGAGATTTTTTCCAATTTTTTCAAAGGCCTCTTAGGGATGAGTACGAGAACCGAATCCAATGGGTTCTCATTCGATTTGATTTTATTGGATTATTTTTTTTTTAAAATTTAAGTTCGGATAGAGTTGAGTTCAGATTTAGGGTGAAAATATCTGACCCAACTAATCAAAAAAATTATAATTTTACCTTATATATTTAAAGATAATTGTAATAAGACCCTTCTATATATTATTTTCTCGATTAACTTTTGATTTTTTATTGAATAAGTATAAATATAATATTTCAGATCAGATCAAATTAAATTCTAATTTTATCTCAAAAGGACGAATCGTGTCAGGTACAAGTCGAATGAAGAGTCCATAGTTTATGAGTTAGATTCGAGTAAGGTGAAACGTGTATAATTTTCAGAATAGATCGACTTAACCGAAAATACGATCCATGCCAATCCCTACTGGTCGGTGGTTTTAAATAACGCAAAGCATCGAGCAAATAAGTTCGTGCCACGTGGGTTGAAATAAAAATATATCTTTTAAGAAGATCCTAATCCACTTAAAAATGGAGAAGCGCTATCTCCTTCCTTCTTCTTCCTCTCGTCATCACTCGAAAGCAGAGCTTCTCGATTTTCTCTGCTCTTCAAAGGAAAATGGTCGGTATTGTGGCCATTACCGAGCTTAACAAACAAACCCCAAGGTCCAAATCCCTAAATTCAGTTCCCAGATCCTTACTACTCTCTTCGGCATTTATTCAAACACCACTCGCGCCTCCATTTTCTAGGCCATCATCGTCAAAGCCCAATCTCGTTCCCTTTGTCCCTGAAAACGTAATCCGTCACCTTCACCATTCAATCGTTTCAACCGCCAATAAATTATGGAATTCCCTTAACCAAAACCCAGTTTTCAAAAACATTATCTCCTTATCATCCGAATTCCAGAGCTTCTGTAATGAGGTAACTGGTTTTCGTTATCTAATTTGTTTCAATCACGATTCTAGTTTTTGATTTGTGAAGATTATGAATTATTCCGGCAGGTAAAAACTTGCAGAAACGACTACGTGAAGATTATGAAATTTTCCCCGCTTTCAAATCGCAATTTTGCGGCGGTTTTGCCCGGCGATTCAGTGGCAGGGGTCGTGGTTGCCAATGGAATCCTAAATTTCTTAAACATTACAATACGCTGTTGATTGTAAGGCTGGTTTTGACTTGGTTCCCCAACTCGCCTCCAGCCATTGTTAGTCCCCTCAGGTACCTCCAGTTCATCTCAAGAAACAGTTAAAATTATGGTTTTAATCCTTCTAATATGCTTAAATCTAGAATTTATTGATAATTTGTTATCTATTTTTATAATGTCATTTGTTAATTTAAATAGCTAACATCGTTAAAGACTATTTATATCATTGTGATTAGTCGGTCAATAGATTGAGTTAGGTGGTGCCACCAAAAAGGTAGACAGATTGAATCATGATTGCCAAAAGAACAAAGTAAATAGATTAAATCATAATTTTGAACAAGTAGAGGGACTAAAACCAGACTTTTGAAATACTTTAAATCTTCGTAGTAATATATAAAAGCTAACAAGTTTATTTATGTTTTTGATTCAGTACTCTATGTGATCCGTACCTGAACATTTTCCGGGGAATAATTCCTCCATTAGGAGGAACATTGGATCTATCTCCAATACTTGCATTTATAGTTCTAAACGCATTTACTAGCACTGCCGCTGCTCTTCCAGCCGAGCTTCCGGTGGCTGGACAACATCCTAGAAGGGCTTTGTCACATTCATTGTTCACCGCTTTAACCTCGTCACAGAAGAAATGGATGAGACGACTCAACCAGAGCCGGTCAAAGAATTCCGAATCCAATGCCGACAATTAAACTTGTTCTTCCTTTTAGAGTTAAATGGAGGTCCTTTAAACCTTTTTACTCTTTATTTTGGATCAGTGGAAATTCTTTTGCTATGAAACTATTCAATTAAAACCTGGAAATCATTATTCTTTTTGTTCTTGTTTAATCATCTGCAGGAATCACTAGAATCAAAATGTTAGATAATAAAAGAGGAACTTTGCACATAGATTCTGCTCCTTTAAGGATCAAGGATAAGGCTGAGAAAATAGAAGAAAACCATATAGAATAAACCGAAATACACTTTCAACTATGGAAGAAGAATTCTACCTCTTTAATTTGATCATATCATGTAAACTAACCAAAATATTCCATTGACCATTATACATGTTTTGAATGATTGTGAATGTAATAGTACACCAAAAGAAGTGTGGAGCGTAGTACTAAAGAGATTAGCTCAATCTGGTGTTTAGTAATTGTTTGCAGTTATGCTTCTTGAAGGCCTTAAATGAATCAGTTTTGCTTTTTGTATATGTCAATGAATTGAGGTTGAGCCTAGCGAACCGAGTAACCTTGTTAATCAGTGTAGACGACCGATAGGCGAATACCGCAGTGGAGGTTCTTGGGGTTTGAGCACATTGAGAAATTTTGATACTGTTCTCAGCTCCTGTCCTATGATCTGAACCTGGGGATTCGAATGCCCTTTTAGGAACACATCCGTGAGCTGCATTGAACACGAAAAGGTCCCGGATAAGAAACACATCTTCATTTGCAGAAGCACAAATATCATCAAACTATCAAACTATGAGATGTTTCCCCATCTATTTGAATTGGCATTTGCTCTTTCTTGCAGTTTAGATTATGTTTTAACTTGAGGAATAAATAATCATTCTCTTTAGAAATTGCACATGAATAGATTGGCCTGAAATGGCAATCCTGCAGTGACAGGATGATCTTTAGAGACAGAGAGGTTGGCAAATTTACCTGTGTACAACCGAAGAGTTTTAGCTGCTTCAGTGACAAGCAACTATCTACAATCAGCCCTAGTGCTTCATCGTTCAAGTGACGGCACCATGATAGGTCCAAACTGAATAATTTTCTCGAGCATTTGGAAAGCGCTAAAGCAGTGTTCAGTCCCACCTGTTACAAGTTGTTCGACACAGTAAGTTGTTTACCAATCACCACAATATGAGGAGAAGCCGAAGCGGTTCAATAGATACAACGTGAATGTGGTAAGGCGTATCAATAACTTGATAATCTCACCAAGGCAATGTTGTTCAGGGAAAGTTCAGTTAGGTCACTTCCTGAAGCTTCCAAGAAGGCAGCAATAGCTTCGTCGCTGTCATACAAAACGAAATAATTCAATTACAGGTACTGCTTCCCTCAAAGTCGAAAGAAAGTGGATATTTGAAAGTGGATATTGCATACGATAATCAGCAGCGTGATTGACAAGGATGGAATGATTAAACATGAGAGAACGATATAAAACAGTGTCACAATGGAAGTATCATTATGTACAGAGGTTAGGAAATGAACAGATGAAGGTATAGAAGGAAACCTGAAACGGTTGCGGATCAGTTTAAGCCTGTTAATTGATCGACAGCCATTGGCAAGATATCTCAGTGATTTATCTGTCAACTTCGACAAGTAAGAAAGGTCAATTGTGCATAACTTGGAACAATTCTTCCCCACAGATTTGATAGATACATCAGTCAATTCCCTGCATCAAAAAACACCACTTGTTACCAAATCTGATGATAGATATACTTCTGAATTTGTTAGAATGATCTTAGATGACTTACAAACAATTGGTGAAAACAAGCTCTTTCATATTTTTGCCACATGCTTCAACCATTTGGATGACGAAATCATCACAAACAGTCGGAATTCCAGCCATTGACAGAACTTCCAGACATTTAAGCTTCTTCAGTGCAGGCAATACAACCATGGCTTCTATATTATGACATTCATCTAAATAAAGCTCTCTTAAGGTGGATTCGAAGCAGTTAGCTAGATTGTTGATACCAGCAGATGTGAGAAGTGAGCAATGGCTCAGATTTATTGACTGCAGAGCAGGGGCAGACAATGCAAGCATATTTAGCCCTTCGTCCGTCATGCGATGTGCACCATTCAGAGACAAGGTAGCTAACGCGGGGAGGCTTTTCGATGAGCAGGCTAACGTATCTCGTAATACATAATCCGGCATGCAAGATCCACACAAGTCAAGCTGCAACACCTGCCTCCAGAGCCCGAAAACATCATAAACGACTGACAGCCAGGTATAAACAAATACTGATCTTTCAATTGCAATTTTTGGCATTGTTTTGGTTATAGGACTCATACGCAGGATAACAGGGTCAACAATAATCTTCACAGCTAAAACCACATGATCCCTACAGTCAAGTTGAAAAATATCTTGCTAAAACCAAACGGAGCAAAATGTGTGAAAGTTCACTTACAGTCAAGTTGTTGGTATCACAGCAGCCAAATATCTTGGTGAATTCGTCTTCAGTCACTTGCGAACAGTCGTTGATTCGAATCTCTTCTGGCAATCCACTGGCAAGAAGTTGCAAAAAATGAGCATCCATTTTCCTAGAATCACACAACAACCGAGTAAGCTTATGCCTCAGCATATCAGGAACATGGTCAAGTGATACGATCACATCAGCATTCTTCGCAAGAGTACGCAAACTAAGGTCGAGCAAAGAAGGAGCCTCACGATCCATAAAGGTGATCTTTTAACATTCTTGGGTACCCATTTGAACTCAACTTCTAATCCACCACTCGATAACATCTTTCTCGAAACTCGGGTTTTAATCATCTCCATTGCCATACCAAAAGGAGTTCCTAATTGTTCTTTATTATCATCGTCGTCATCAACGACAACACTCTTCAAAGCAGGAGCAGCAGCCTTCTTGGTAGAATATTTCGAAAGGTACCTATAATCAACTTGACCACATGCATAGTCTAGGGCAAATTGTTTAGCAATCTCATGGAATCTTTCTGCTTTCTCCCTTTCGTGCCTTTCTCTACGAGCAACCTCGTCTTCACGAAGAAACTGAAGGTATTTTGGCTCAACCTGTTTCTCTCTGAAAGCTCTCATCATTTCCAAATCATGCTGAATTTCCTCTTGTGTTAATGCAAAAGAAAATCTCCTCTTTTTACTTGAAGAACCAGCCGTTTCGGCACCTGGGTCTCCTCCAATTCTCAATTCAATGCCCATAAAAGACTTGACGAAACCAGTTGTTGGTATTCCGGGGAACAAAGGATCAGAATCCACCGGCACGATCTCCGGCAGCAGGTTAAGATCGAAATTCAACGGTGCATTCCGCTGCTGCTGCTGCTGGTGCTGCTGCGTACTAAAACCGGTACTTCCTTCTTCTTTTTCTCTCGAATTCTCATCACTTTCCTGAGAATCAGTTTTCTCGGAAAACCCCACATCACCCATTTCCCAGATTCTTCTTCTTCTTCTTCTTCTTCTTCTTCTTCTTCTTCGATATTCGATACGCCCGCGAACCAATTGTAACTGAAGATTTCGAGAAGCGTGCCCCCCTTTTTAATCTGTTAAAAAACCTAAAGCCTCGAGAGAAAAGACTGGGTTTTTCACGCTTCTTTCAGTGCTGATAATTACTATTCAAAAGGGTAGTAATAATTGGAGCATAGATGTCTAGTTTTTGGCATTGGGGTGGCTCTGATTTTGCCACGTGGAATTTGACTTTTGATCGGACGGTAGATCTAAAGTACATTTATTCAAATTAAAAATAATTTATTCATGTGGAAATTTTGGAATGAAAATTAGGTTTTGGGTGTGAAAAGGGAATAAAACATGAAAGTGGGGACTTTGAAGTTAGGTACTGAAAAAGAATTGTCTTTGAGTTTGGGTTAGGAGGTTAGGGTTTGCCCTAATAGTCAATAAGGTATTGAATGTGTGAGTCACATGGCACTTAAACCACTAAATTAGACTTTGCATGCTTTATTCTTTTTATGGTTAAGCATATTCCCTTTTTTTAAAGTGCAAAAAATTTGTTCATGGGTTAAGCTACCTGTATTAAATAAACGTAATGGTACGCAACTGTTTGAACCCATAATTTACAACACTCCATTTAATCGCTCAATTCAAAACAAAAGAAACTCGAAAAGAATAAGTTTAATATAAGCACGTTAATGGGTTAAGCTATCTGCATAATATAAAAGTAATTGAACGTAACTGTTTAAACCCATAATATCTAAAAATAACAACACTCTCTTTAATCATCCAATTCAAAACAAAAGAAATTAGAAAAGAGCACTTTTTCTTCTTAAATTTGGAATAATTTAGAATACATAATTAAGAAACATAAACCCACTTAAATTATAGGTCATGTTTAAATTCCAACATTTGATGCCTAAACCTATCCCCATCCATGTTTTGCTAATGGTGTTTCGGTATCAATAGTAAAAGAAGAGTTTTTTTTTTTGAGATCTCAAGTTCGAATAGTTGTGTGTGTATGGTGTGTACATTATCAATAAGTCAATAAAATATCTGAACAAATATTACATTAAAAAGCTTGGAGATTAATACAGAACGAGGGTCGTAGTTTCGGGATAAAGTTGGAATGTTTAAATTCTTGGATCAATTTAGAACGGGAGTTATAATTTGAGGATGAAATTAAAAGTTTTAAAAGTTCAATGACTAATTTAAAATAAAAGTCATAGTTTAAGAACATAGAATGAATTAGGATAAACTATGCATTCAGTATCTAAACTACTATGTTGGCCGTCGGTTTCAATATCTCAGTTTCTCTCTCGCATCCTCCTTGCACCCAACTGTACGATTTCTATTCTTTTCATTTATGGATCCATCAGTCTTTCAAAGACTTCAAAGCTAAATTTTAAGTTTTTTTTTCCCCACTGCAGATGCCATTGCAGGTAGCTTTCTGGATAAATACGTGAAAAAGTAATTATTAATCACTCATACCCTCTTGAATCACTAATTTGTACTATGGGTATTATTTATTTATTCACTTTTGTGTTGATGATGTGCAATTTAACAGGAAAAAGTTGGATCCGCTCGAGGTTTACGTGCCTGTTGTTTGTTTTTAAGTTTGTTTGTGTTTTATGAATGATGATCAAGACTTTAAAACTTGTGCGGGTGCTTGTTCATTTAAGTAATACATGTTTGATGTTTGCGAACACTAAACGAATATATTCATGAACATATAATCGAGTATGATGGCAAGTAGTTAAAAGTTTGTTTATTAATAGAAATGCGAACATTAACTAGTTTTGAATTAGTGTTTATTAACTGCGAGTATGGAGATACACACATGCACACATTTGTAAATGACAAAAACAAGTTGACATGAAGGAAACAAGAAATTGAAGCATATTTTGGAAAACAATAATTGCAGCAATACGTCGGCACATAACCATGTAAGCAACTTGCAGCTTCCCGGATGAGCACTCTCCTAATTTTTGGACAACCTCACAGTTGAGGTTCGCTCATTGATGTTCTCAAAAGAAAACGGAATAGATCCATTATGTATAACATAGTGACTCAAATCCAACACCAGTAGAACCCCAATTAAGGTCATGCATATTTATACATCCATTCAAGCTCACATGGGTAAGATGTGTGCAATAAGCAAGAAGCTCTTCTATGGCAGACTGGCACAGGGTATCGCGTGACAAGTCCAAATCCTGCAGAAGCATCAATCATAGGCCAAAACAAAGTATCATAAAAAGAAGGTAGCACTTGCAACAAACCTGCAAAGGGAGGCATCAAGTGATGTCAATAGGGGACAATTTATTGATGCTTCAGATAATACACCACGTCCTTTCAACTCAAGTGACACCATACATGGAGCATCAATTTTGAGTGTGTTCAATTTGGGGCATATTCCGAGGTTAAGTGACAGAAGAGAAGCCTAAAAGGGGGGGGGGGGAAGGGCTTCAACGCTTTCATTTTTACGTATCAAGTAGTCGATTAATATATAAGCAAAATCATCTCAGAGAAAGTCGGCTAGAGTCGCTATAAACATACAGGACAAAACGATGCTCTCTCAAGATGATCACAACCATCTAAGCAAATTTTCTCAAGACAAGATCCAGAGCAGTAATAGCACGACAACCAACCAGAGAAAGGTTGACTAAAGATGTACCGGGTAACTGCACTGCTGTCAAGCTCTGGTCGACATAAAAACAAGAAATCGTCGGAAAGCACAATAAAACGACGAACACAATGCAGGAACCAAGGAGCTACATTCATTTGATAGCACCAAAACCAATCAAAAAATATTTGAAACTCATAAGTAATGCTAGATGCAGAGAAGAATTGAACAGATAAAACTATGGTGCCATTTGAAGTGATCCATCAGCTGAGAAGAACTCAAAACTTGGAGATTCGCACAACTGTGAGCTATCTCACGCAATGTCTCATCACTAACACAAGAACAATTCGACATGTCTAAAGATTCTAATTGGGGGCAAGAAGTCACTGCCGAACAAATTACCGCATCCGTAAGTTCGTGGCATGAGCTTATGTCAAGCAGGTTTATAAGAGGGCAATTCAGGGCCACCGGTGCCATATTACTACGTTTCAAAGACAAACTTTTTAGCTGTGGACACCTGCAAAAGATTCAGGCTTTAGCATGAAGAATAACCACATTGACACCAAGATAAAGTCAACATTCAAATGAAGCCTTCGTTTCACCTGATAGATAGACGCATCACACGGCATTTTGTTACTTGCAGATCACACAATCGATCATGGTTAATAGGTATTTCTTGAACACCATTACCGTAATGAAGAGACAGCTCTCATAACTAGCAGGTGCATATTACGAGTGTCACCGAGATTCACTTCAGTGGCATTCGGATATCTTTTTGACACATGCCTTCAACTGCAGAACCAAATTGAAATGTTATAGCAGTCCGGAATCCAGTTTTATTATTGATAATGCAGTCCTTTTACTATGTAAAGTTGTAAAATTTAGACTATATTTTGACGACTTCGCATTTTTTTAATAGTCTAGTGATTATAATATAATATCTATTTAAAAAAATTGATATAAAAGAACGTAAAGGAGAGAAAACTAGAGTCTTAAGGCTCCTTCTCCAAGAACATCAACACTATTTTTTAATGGAAAATGACGAGTATGGAACATAATGAATAGTCGAGTGACCAATATATTATTTTTAATGGTCGAGAGACTCGATAGAAACAATGCTCTAAATGTAACCCCCCAGACCGATGCAGGTAGCCCGATCCGATCCAGGAAGTCACATTAGGGCCACCGGAGCGACCCACTGTAAAAATAGCGGAAAATTTAAATCTTTTTATCCGAACATGTAAACTTATAAAATCATTTGTCACTATTTAAAAATAAAACATATTTCCAGACTCGTATATAAATCAAAATACAATTACATGCCCCCTATTCACATGTACCATACTCTGCTACAACGCCGGAAAAACTCCCTTACTGAAGTCGATAGATGCACTGGTACAATTCTTTTAACCTGAAAAGGTGAGTAATAGAGTGAGCTTCAAAAAGCTCAGTAATACAAAACTACCAGATGATGCTGAAAAACGTGCAGATACAGATAAACATATTTTCCTTATTGGTTCAGATATTTACAGATTTTTATGTTGAGCAAAGATCCTACTGATATTTCAGGTAGTAACGGACAATGAGCTTTCGTTTCAGAGAAATATTTCGGATGACTGAGTTCAGGAGATCAGAATAGGTTTTCTAGTGTGTTCCCAAAAAAAACCATGTAACTTTTCAGATCTTTTTAAAACATATATATATACCCCCATCCGTCACGAACAAAATGTGTAGGTTCCCCAGAACCATACAACCCCGTCACTAACAGTAAGGCCCTGAGCACACAGCCGAGGAACCGGTAAGTAAGGCCCTGAGCACACAGCCGAGGAACCTCCAAGTAATCTTCCTCCAACAATACCCCCCAATAAAACATGTTCCGTCCGTAAACGGATATATCAAAAATCAAAACATAATTCAAGTCAAGTATCATATCAGAATCCAGGTCATGTATCAGATCAGAATCCATGTCAATATCAGATCAGAATCCAGGTCAGGATCATAATAGAATTCAAGTCGGAAATCAGATAAAATATTTATATGATTAGGGAACACACCAGAGTTTACAGATATTATTCAGAGGTATTGGATAATCTTAACAGGTAGAGAAACATGAATATTCAGTATACCGATAGGATATCGGAATTTAGAATCACTATTTGAAAGAGTTCATTAACTGACAGAATCATCAGTTATTCAGAATGTGAATTATCAGGATATTATCTTATTCGGACAGTTTTCAGAAGCTGTACGTAATCAGAAGGGTATTCAGAATCCTTTACATCCATGTCGATTGATCGGATAATCGAACAACTTGAGAACGAAGATTCATAACCTTAACAATCTATGTCGACTGGTCAATTCATTTTCCTTCTAGGGTATTTACTCTTTAATACCACAAATTCTTGTCCGTAGACCATTTTCGGAATTATCGCTGAATAAATCTTCCAATGACTTTATTTCATTTCCACACTTCCACAATATCATGAAATGTTGACGTACTTGATTAATTTGTTCATAACCCATTGTAATTGTACACTACGTAAACTCATCAGAGTTTCCAGACTTATCCAAATCACTTACTAAATCCTCAGTCATTGAGGTTACCTATTTCATTTAGCAGTCATCTCCATTCCAGTTACTTCAGAATTTTCCAGAGTAATTCAACGTTCCTGAATTTCAGATACATGTTGTACTTCCATCCCATTCAATTTGGTCTTCGTGGTTGATTGTTGAACAAACGTCCAATTCTTAGTACTGAATACAATCTAGAGCTGAGTTGAATACTTCCAAAATTTATCATCGAGCCAAACTTGAGAAGATGAACACATGTTCCAGTAATATCTATGTCATTCAGGTATTGACATAGCTTTAGGGTTGATCTATTCACTTGAATTGTTTTCCATTACCTTTAAAGGTAGTCCAATACTTATCTTACTTGGATTCCTTAATTAATCCAAGACATTTACTTAATTTAGGCCATAAGGGTATTTTGGTAATTTTGATGTTCAGTTTTATTCCATTCATTTCAGAGCTCGAGGATATTCAATCATTCCTGAGCTTGGTGATATTCTTGGGTCATTTCTATTACAGGGGTATTTTGGTCATTTTACAGATTCACGGTATTTCAATCTTTTCCTTCCATCCGATCTTATTATTTAATTCAATCTTATCATTTACTTCAGTCCTTTCGAACAATTCTGATAGCAGAATACCCCCGATAAATTACTCTTCCAGTATTTACTCATTATTCGAATATTTTCAGGTCAAGTGTCTTCTCAGACTTTACAAACGGAATATCATAAATTTTCCTGCACTAAGTCGGGATCTTAACAATTAAATCCGTACTTATTCGAGTTAAGTACGAATCCTCTAAGTATTTTCTCATTCAGAGTCATCTCAAACTATTCTACCTCTTAAGGCATTTCCGTAATTTCTTAGCCAGATAAGTTCGATATTAGCTCTTAACGAAAATAATATAATTTAGAGATCCTATGATTAATTGCTTTCTTGAACAATCTCTGATCTTGAAATAATTCCCTTAACACACTTCTAGTATCTTGCATAAACCTTATTGGGGTTAAAAACCGGTTCTCCATAATTTCCAAGTAAAACTAACATTTCTTATGCACATCAATAGTTTTAGCAGATCAATAATTCTTTTCAGATTTATTAATCCACTTCCAGAGACAATTCTTATCATTTTCCAACATAAGGGTAATTTCGTAATTTTCCCTAATCGAAATATTCTCTTAATTTATCATCTAAGTACCTTTAATGAGATAAATTATAATCTACAATCCATGGTTAATTCTTTTATTACTTAATTCCAGAACTTGTAATTTAATTCAAACCGTCCTCCAATTTCTTATAATAGTCATCTGAGCTATATTCAGTTATCTACTTTCTACCGTATTCGTACCTAGTGTAGATCTTCATTAATTACACATATGAGACTAAACATTTTCATTCATGCATTTATCAATACCAACATGTTCCATAAAGCATAAAGAGGTAGTAAAGTATTACCTCAATTTCCGTACACTATTGATCGACCATAAAAATTCCATTCGAACATCTTTGATCTTCAATTCAACTTCCAATAATTCCTCAGATACATATAAACATAAATTATATCAGAAACGAAGCTTAATTACGATAAACGGATCGAATCGGGTGATAAATCAGTGAAAGACGGCTTACCGGGTTCGAATTTGGCGAAACGGACTTCGGATTCGGATTCAGGACGTCGAAAGCATAAAATATGACTTTTCGGAAATTTGGAATATTCGGTCAAAATCAAAGTCAACGGGTTTGACCGGCAATTTCGAGACCTTCGGGTTTGAATTTCGAAAAACGGACAGCGGAATCAGATTTGGAACGTCGAAAAATGTCAGGATAGGTATACTCGGTCAAAGTCAAAGGTCGTTTAATGCCCGATCAAAGCCGGTCAAAGTTTTGGTCAACAGTGGTCAACGGTCAATGGGTCAACGGTCAACGGGTCGGGTCAACGGGTCGGGTAAACGGGTCGGGTCGGGTCAACGGGTCGGGTCAACGGGTCGGGTCGGGTTGTGACCGGTCAAACCGGTCAACTATTCACTAAAACCGGTCAAACCGGTCATTTAGACTATCCCCACTCGCAGTGGCGGCGCGTGGGGGCGCGTGGGCACTGTTCCGGCAGCGTAAAATTCACAGAAAATTTTCTAAAAATTATTTTGAGCGATTTCGAGATACTTACAAAGCTCGGTTCACAATTTTGAACGGCGGAGAGCTCGATTTTGAAACGTCGGAAACTTTGACCGCTTCACCTCCACACGCGCTGCCGCCGCCGGAGAAAAAGGAGAACATCGGTGAACTCGGAACGGCACAAGGAACACGATGGTGCGGGAGGTGTCGTAAACGGATCATCGGATCGTCGTGAATCGATGAAAAACCAACTAAAACGAGTTATTACCGACGATACTTCCGACTGAAATTCACGACGAACGGCGATGATTCTCGACGAAAGGTTTGAGGGGTTTTGTTCCTCGATTGACAACGAACACGATGGTGGTTTCGGCTCGTCGTTTGGAGGTCGGACGGCGAGTAGATCGGAGTTGGAAGTTGGGTCAACGGAAGAGAAAAACTGGAAAATTATACATTCTGCAGCACGGGGAGGGGTTATAAATTCTCTCATAAAGGAAATTGGCTAAACCAAGAGTTTAGTCACTGAACTTCCTACACTTCTTAAAACGGTCTGCTAACTTTGAAATCTTACAATTTAATCCCCGATTCCTTCCAAAAATACCAATTAAATCCACCACTTTATAATTTCTTAAATTTAGCCCCTAAATTGGGGTGTTACAATTCTCCCCTCCTTAAAAGAATTTCGTCCTCGAAATTCATCCATGTTACATAATTGCATAAATGAAACTTCCAACAGTTCTTTCAAATCTATCAATAGCTTTTATAAAAGTACGATTCCTCCACTTATCCTTAACCAGCTGAGCATACATTCTTATCATAAATTTTCCTTATTTCAATAAAAGAATTTAAAATTTTCTCGAGTAATCAATCTCTTCAGAATTCTCCCTCAGTCCAAGTAAATAATCAGAACAACTTTATTCTTGTGAAATCAATTCAGCATTGGATACGTGAATAGGCTCGTAGAGCAGCAACATATCTCAATTTCATTTCCGGAGTCGAGTCAGAAATTCTCAGATGAATAACTCTCACATGGCTCATGAGATACTTTACAACGTTTAGACAGATGTTACTGGTATTCCTTTTTGTACAAGTATAGCCTTAGCAGATAGAAACTTTGGTTTACTCAATACAGATAGGGACTCAGCCCTGGAGTTCCGGCTCAGAGAGGTACGATTGCAGTCTAGGGCATGTACTGATCAGACATATTTTGACATTTGACC